AAAATAGGTTTTGTACACTTCATACAATGGCTGTGCACTGACTCAAAAATTTAAAACGTAAAAATATATGGTCGAAACTTACATACAGTATTCTATACTGTAGTATATAACTTAGGCAACTACCTCTCGCGTAATGTTCATGTGTTCGCGTCTTAACCTAATACATCAAAAAGTTTTGTCTAGTTAGACTACCTTGTATTTATCTTGTAAAGTTTCATTTTACGGCATTGATTATATCTTAATACATTCATCTTTTTTTTGCTGGAGAAAATGTGAGCTCGCGGACCACGCACTAATAAATCACTCAAACCTTTATCAGAATCGGATAGATGGACCAACCACCACATATAATGATGTTAAACGAGACGAAAAGTACTTTAAATTTACGAAAATAGAGAGAATAAACCTTTTACTGTACACGATAATTGTGACCAATCATATTGTTGTATTTCTGTTAATTTCTGTTAATTTGAGAATACTTCAATTTCATTGGTTGTTGGAAAATACCATAGAAGAAAATATGATAAATTTCTTCGCGAATACCTTATTTTATGAGCCCATAATTTTATTGATGGGGACATATTTATAAAAGAAACCATTTTTCTACAATGTCCAGCATTATTATTTAATGAAAAAGTGTTTGGTTTTGTCAGATCTTATTCATATTATAAGATCTGATACCCCATTTTCTTCTTTTCGTGTTGGATAGAAAATGAGGTGAATTAACCTATTGGATACGTCAATTTGTACATTCGATAAATTTTTATTCTGATATTGAAATAGCTTGAAAATTGTTTTCTACAATGTACGTTATATGTGTTAAATGATAAATTATTCCAAAGCATTATATCTGATCTATACAATCAGATCTGATATGTCATTTTCTTCTTTCGGTGTCGGAAAGATAGAAAATCTAAATTTGAAAATGTGATACAAAATGCTGTATATGTAGTAATTAATACATTAAAGGGCAAAATAGTCTATAGTTATAGATCTTGTATCACTATACCAAACGGGGAAATTTAGTGTGTATATTACCCGTCTGGCTCGGTTATATCAATTTCTTTCGGGTGATCAATATCCAATCAAAAAGGCGGAAAAAATCTGGAAGGGTAATAAACATATTTATTTAACCTTAAATATGTCACAGGGTGAGAAAAATGTGCAGCCTGACCGGGACCCTCGGACTACCGTACCGCGACTCTACCGACTGAGCTGCCCGTCCGCTTACACATCTTCTCCCCTAAATAGTGAACAGTTCTGAACGGCGACCAACTTCCCGCTATATTGAAATTCGTTCTCTAATTTCACAATGTGAATTAAACTCTGAGCTATATTCAGTCACGGTTCCCCGCAGGACACCAAATGTCACAGGGTATTAACATAATCAATTATGTGCGTATTGTTTCTCATTTTTCAGCTTAAATAAACATTTAATCTGAATAATAACACAATTAAAATGGCATTTATAAGTGTTGATAGAATGTGTTGTTTTTAGCTCTCTCTTAAAGATATATGATAATATTTCTTAAGTAATAACTCAACCTCTACACTTGTACTAGAGATATACGTGTAATTTTACATTATTTTCCAATATCTTTAATTTTCAGCTAATTTTGGTTTTACTGGGATCTTACATATTATCGGAAAAATATGATTTTTTTCGCTGTAACTTTTATTCAAAATAATAAAAAAGAATGGAATTTTACCCAAATAATTTTGGATTCTTAATACACGAAAACATTCCTTTACCAAGCATACAATTAAACATTTGACCGTAGAAATGTTTCTTTAAAATATGACATTATAAGAGGAAAAAATCGTGCAGACAACTCAATTTACCGGACATTGTGTTTGAAAATTTTTTGCAGTTCCAAATTCAAAATTATTTTTTTCATTTAAATATATATTCAATTGTCTCCTGAGATAACGTTGAGGAGAATTAAAATTAAAACCTATCTAAAATAACCCATTAAGGGGCTCAATATTCGGGCATGCGCAGAACAGAATATTCCTCCACATAACCAAGTCATGAAATAACTCGTAAACAAAAGGGTATGTTAGTAAACAATATTTACCTGGGAGTGGTTTTGTTGTTATTTACTCTGAAATAGAAAGTGTGTGTACGATAAAGACCGGATGATCTTTTAATCGAAGCAAAAAATAAAGCCTTATTATACAGAAATATATTTTGTCCGGTAAACTGATTATCCGGTTAATATGAAGGATTCCAGTATACCTTCAAATAAATTGAGTTTCAGTTAAACTGAGTATATACCTTTATTTTCAGCAGTATTGAGTCTTTTGAGTCTATTGAACCAGTACCTTTAAAATTGTTTTATAAAAACTAATACAATCAATACATTACGCATGTTACCGAAACATGTTATTTTCAAATGCAGTTTTGAGTTTATGATACAAAATAAATGTTGCTCTGTTTTTAGTTACAATGGGTACTACAGTTTTGAGACAGCTGTTTTATAGGTTTATTAAATGTCAGGAGCCATTCAGGAGCTTCCAGGTCCCATTTCATGCTCTGGTTAAGTCCAGGTCCACAAAAGAGCGTTCAGAGATCGCTGTTTCCATACGCTCTGATATTGCAGTTTTGAAAAATAACTTCTTTGCATTATTGTAATGTCTCTCTACTAGGTTTTGCATACATATAGGAATTAATTATGCATTCATACGCTTTTGAAATTTTGACTGAATACATATATCATGTTACTCGGGAGATAGGTGTATCTACGCATTTCGTTTCGCAACAGCTACTTTAACCTTTGTGCTATGTATTTTTTTACATATATGTTAGAGTAACTATAGCACACTCGTATTGTCACAAGGAAACACATCACTGTGTCACTCACATGCAATGTTTTTAAATTGGCTAAAACTTGGGCAAATAGAAGATTTAATATTGTAAGTCTCTCAAACTTTGTCTATACATTTCATTTTATCACACTGAGCCCTTCTATTCACTTTCTGTCTCTCAATTCTGATCTTATTGTCTTCCATGTCGAGAAATTAGTTAAATTTTGTCTTCATATGGGGGACGCTAAGCTCCTCTTTAGAATCCTATACAAGTTATTACTCACGTAAAAGTTATTTTTTTATCTTCTTGTAGACTTGTAATTACAATGTAAATGAAAGGAATTAAATGCAGGTACAATGAACTGCAGTAACAAAATTTAAATTATTTGGTGTTGCTAAAACAAATTATTGAAAAGTTTTTACAAGACAGTTTCATATAAGCTACTCTTAATTTAATTTATGCGTTGTAATTTTTTGAAAATAATGGTGAACAAGGCAGTCTGAAGGACAGCTAAATCCCCTTCCGCAATGAACATTTGTGTACTTCTTAACCTTTTGCCAACCATGACCTTGATGTTGTGACATACATATCATAAGCACATAGTCCGAAGATGGTGATTATTTGTGCCCAGTTACTTAAAATCTTCCACAAAGTCAAAAAGTTACGGAGAACATAGAACCTTGACTTGGGGGGTAGCAACCCAATTATTGGGCTCTGCAAATCGTCTTATAAAGGTGAACACTTTTAACAAGTTGATAAAAAAATCAGCGGTTTTAAAGTTATTAAGCGGACATGAAATGTAGACCTTTAAACACTTGATTTTTAAGTGTGACCTTGACCTTGGGGGAGCAACCCAGTTACTGCGCTCTGCACATTGTCTTATAATGTTGATCAATTATGCCAAGCTGTTTTATTAATTTCAAAAGTTTAAAAGTTATGGAGAGGACACAAAATGTAGACGTTTTAACATTTGACCTTAAAGTGTGACCTTGACCTTGGGGTAGTAACCCAATTATTGCGCTCTGTACATGTTCGTATAATGGTGATCAATTGTGCCAAGTAATCTTTTTTAAAAGTTCAGCAGATAAAAAGTTACGGAGCAGACACGAAATGTAGACTTTTTAACATTTGACCTAAAAGTCTGACCTTCACCTTTTGGAAAGCAACCAAATTTTTGAGCTCTGTATTTCATCTCATAATGGTGATCAGTTGTACGAAGTTATAAAAAAAATCAGCGTGTAAAATGTATTGAGCAGACACGAAATGTAGACTTTTTATTGTGAGATGAAGACTTTTTTACTTTTGAACTTTAAGTGTGACCTCGACCTTGGTGGTAGAAACCCAGTTATTGCACTCTGCACATTGTCTTATTATCGTGATAACTTGTGCCAAGTTATTAAAAACATATTTCAGTGGTTTAAAAGTTATGGAGCAGACACGAAATGTAGACTTTACATTATGAAATGAAGACTTTTTAACATTTGACCTTAAAGTGTGACCTTGACCTTGGGGGTAGCAACCCAATTTTTGCGCTCTGCACATCGTTTCATTACAGTGATCACTTGTGCCAAGTTATTTCAAAAATATATCAGCGGTTTAAAAGTTATGGGGCGGACTCGAAAGTGTTACGGACGGACTGACGGACGGACTGACTGACTGACGGACGGACGGACGGACGGAGGCCATTCCTATAATCCCTTTCCGCTACGTGGAAGGGGAGTAAAAAAAGAATATTGTTTGAACCAAACAGTATCGGCAAAAAATATGCTAGTCTCAAACATGCATGGTAACAACTTTAACGCGATTGAGACATCCACCCCAATTCTCCATACCCTCGGTTGTAAACGCCACGCTTGCTTTGTCGAGCTTTCACTACACGGACAATGATTCTTGCTAATAAATCTTAAATTCAAATATATTTACCTATTTTGTTTATCACTTACAGTAAAAGATGCAAGCTATTTTACTTTAAGTCGTTTTTTATTTATAGAATAATAAAATAGTTTAAATTATGAATTGTAAAATATAAGCTAAAAGTAAGACCATAACAGAATATAACTGTATCAGTATAATAATATCATGTCTTTTTCTTAAATCCCAAAAAATGTTTTCCTCGGACAAATTTGAATTAAAAGTACATGGTACATATAATGCGTATAGGTTATCTCGACTAGAAACAGGTAAAATAACCAACATGTATGTTTGTTTATTGTGTTGCTAATCGTAGATGAAAATATCAGTAAGCACATTCAAATAGCATAACAATACGCTAACCTCTAGTATTATGATTTACACATTTTAAAAACATACTATCCTTTTGTTTGTCCGAGGTATCTGTTTTTTATATGCTTTGCTTCCTGTATTGATGTCTTTTTTTATTTTAAAACAAACTTGGTAATAAGACAACATAGCTCATTTATACACATTTTCATTCACAATTGAACGAATTAAACACGGACGTTAGAGTCCGATTTGATCAATATTCATGTAATTTGAGCACACACAATCCCAATATCTGTAAAAAAATCTCGAGGTCGTGATTTTATTGTTTGCCAAAAGGTATTCAAATCTTAAAGAAGAAAGAAAGACATAAAAAACTTTGTTTAAATAAAACCAGATAAGTCTCCATGTTAAAACAAGTTGGTTAATATAATTATAACCATTTTTATAATTCTGCACGTTAGTAACGTCATTTTTCATCGGATAATCGTGACGTTTATATAGTTATATATACACGACTGCTGTCGATTCATGAAGAAATCTTACTTTTTTCTCAAAAAATGATGCTTGCTGTATTATAAATTCGTTTTAAAGATTGTTGACAGGTTATATGGCTGTATGTTAACAGATGTTTGCAATATAACCCTCGCCTAACGGCTCGGGTTATATTTACAAATAGCCTTTTATTTAGGGCCATATAACCTGTCAACGATCTTTATAACTAATAATATTCACCATGATAATACATGTATATGAATCATTCTTACACATGCATAAATTCATTTCTAGATAAAACTAAATTACAGCGAATGCAGGTGTAAGTGAATCAGCTATGTAAATCTATTTCATATTTAAATCAACTATTTTACTGATATAATTATGATACTCAAGTATTTCCTTCCTACAATACAAAAGTATTGCTTCTCATAAACATATATGTTGTAACTACTTGAAATATTAAAATGGATTTATTCCTAAAAATAAATGCAAAATTAAACCAGAAAGACAACACAGGGATTTTATTTTGGCCCAAAAACGCGCTCATGATTTTGAAATCTCGAGGTTTGTGCCGAAGACTTGACATCAGTTGGCATCCTACACTGCCCATTTTCAAGATAATCACGCATATTATCATATGTTTTTCTAAACTTAGACACGTTATTAAGTCGTCTGCATATTTCACATATACTGTATCTATGACCATACTCATATCTCTGCTCGTATACATCTTTTCTACGCAGAAAGTCAATGTACTTATCTTTGTCATTTGCGAGATTTAAAAGATACTGAACTAATGATGACGTATTGGAATAATGTGCAGTATTTATGTAAGTTTTTGTCGGAAGAACTCGGTCATAGTCCGCTCCACCTCGCACAACAACGACCCAGTTATATTCATAGTACAGAAAAAACTTTTCTGTAACATAATCGTTACATAAAGAATTCTCAAATCCCAGATAAAACTTATATTGCGGTATTATCTTTTGTAAAGTTTCTTCAGAAATTCGTTTGTTAGGTCCACACCGCCCATAAATGTCAACATCTAGGCCGTTCTTCACTAGTTCAGCGACGTATAGGTCACGTGCACTCTGCGGACGGCAGTTGCTTACAACCCATAGAGCTGTTTTTGTCTTAGCTTTATAAATGGCTTCATAGTCTAATTTTCTTGGAACAACTCTTGTTCTTAAGTAACCATAAGGGTGAGGCATGTCAGAGTCAATTCTATACGAAATAGACCAATTCATTGTGTTCCTCCAAGCAGGAGATTTATAGTCACTGTACCAATGATGTATTGGCGTTTCACCGCACTTGAATATCCAGGCCTGGTTAGGATTGCGATCTTTCGTATCAATCGGAGGCTTTGTACCCATGCCGCCATTACAAATTATAAACAGGAGGGCATCGGCGGTCTTTAGTAATGATTTGTCGCTCGTCATATAACAGTTATTGTATTCACATGTTTTAAACCTCTCATTTGTTGAAACTTCGTCTTCGAACCCTGGCTTGTTAAATATTAGCAAAGCCTTCTTTTTCTCATTTTCTCCAAACATTTTAAAAGACGTTTCGAACTGCTCCTTTGGATCTACAAGACTATACATTTTAAAATCTTCTAACTGGTCAGTTTGACGTGACCTATTAGTACCAAAGGTTACATTATGTATCTTACTTGAAATGTTTAATTCCCGAATATTATTATCCAGTTTTAAATGATTCACATTTGCCACGATATGTAATGATTGCGGCGTCCAATGTGACACTGTAACAGAGTGGAACAAAGAATTTATTGTAAGTAAAGTTCCAATAAGTATAACAATCGCAACAGATTTCTTTAATGTTAACCGGCGTTTCATTTTAATTCCTATATCCAAACTGTTATACAATCACTATTAATATTTTAAACATATGGCTATCTCTACAAACTTGATGTTACAAATGAATAGAGATATATGATACCCGCTGTCTATAGTTGGACCATTATATTTCGTATCGGGTATTTTTTTCCTTATTATTTAATTTAAGCTTGAATATGGATATCGTTTTAACTTTTATGCATTTTAATGTGTTTCAAGTGACATTATTCTCATTGCTGAGCGGTATTAACCATGTATTAACAAAGTGATTATCTTAAAGGTTATTAACCAATAATGGTTATAACATGTTTATGATAAAACATAAAAATGACCTAAAATGTAAAATGAATGTATCCCAACATTTTTTTTATAAATTGAACAATCCGGAGGATATTTATAGATTTTTCGTGATTCACATGGGTTATTGACTACACATGTGAAGTAAACCATAAAAAGTATGGTAAAATAAAGTTATTTCCACTTTAACCCGTACACTCACCATGCATAACGTCACTGTACAGTATATAAAGCTATATATTTATATTTTCTGTTTAGGGTTGTAAAATTAATGTGCTTCTGTTTGACCCAGATTTGTAAAAAAACACCTTAAAAGTTAACTTGTATTAATTAGATTTGCAACTGATATAAAACATATTGTCTGGTACTTTTGTTAATAAATTCCCATTTCCCATTCAAGCATAATTATGTTATATATTTACAAACTATGCCATAGCTGTAGGAGATGTCCAGAGATCCATACATTTCCAACGTTTGATTTAAATGATAAAATAATACATTGAATGACAGAAGTTTGACAATATATTTTGTTGACAGTGAGTTGGGCATCCATGGAATTATTGTCAAGCCATGCTTAAAGTAGCAGCATAATTCTTTGTTCCGGTATGTAGAGAATACCATACTTGTGTATGATATTTTAAAATCAGGCCTGATCAACTTCATAGTATATGACATTTGTTTAGTATAATAATTATCATGTTTTCATTATTAATTTGCGTTTCCTTTTTAGTATTTAAATGAAATAAAAACCTGTGAAGATTCTCTCGAGTTTATGCCGCGCGCAATAATATGCGAACTATATCAATAAGAAATAGTCCGGATATTTTATATACGAGAGTTTTAATATTTAAAAATCCAATTCGATATAAAGGGTTATCAATTAAATATTTTCAACTCGTATGAGGCAAAAATGTCCCGTTTCCTTTATTTCATTTCAATATGTATGATAAGGTGCCTGATAAAGGTGAGGATAACTTATTAAGCTAAATTTATCAAGCATGCAGTTTATCAATAGAAATCAATGTAATGACATGATAAATTTGTTTACATACAACATGCCAGAATATTAAATAACAGAGATATTTTTTTTTTGCAAATCAATATAATGTTTTTAAATTCTTATGAAATATTCATCAGAATCGTGGTCGATTCTAATGTGGTTCGATTTATATTTGAGACACAAATAAAATTAAACAATAAAGAATGATGATTTAAATAAGTAGACACATTTCCGAATCAGTGGTTTCCAGCAAACTGTATCGAACGTTTCATTTAAAAACGCTTGAGGTTCATGGATCTCATGGAGAAAAAATGCCCCCCCCCCCACTTATCATTATAATTTACCTCTTATATTGTAATAATCCAAAGAAATAAAGTAATCTCAAAATAATATCTAAATGTGTTTGTTTTTATGTTTTTAAAGATTGTCGATCACTTGTCACTGCTCATGTTTGAGGACTTTGTATCATTATAATGCTTTGACCTACATTCGGTGAGGTAACCAACATACGGTATTTAGAATCATTGTGACATCATATCTGTTATATCATTTGAGACCAGTATCTTACTACTGCCTTCTAATATATCATTTTATACCAATATCTTACTACTGCCTTGTTATATCATTTTAGACCAGTATCTTACTACTGCCTTCTAATAGATCATTTTAGACCTACATTCAGTGAGGTAACCAACATACGGTATTTAGAATCATTGTGACATCATATCTGTTATATCATTTTAGACCAATATCTTACAACTGTCTTGTTATATCATTTTAGACCAGTATCTTACTACTGCCTTGTTATATATCATTTTAGACCAGTATCTTACTACTGCCTTCTAATAGATCATTTTAGACCTACATTCGGTGAGGTAACCATTACTAACCAACATACGGTATTTAGAATCATTGTGACATCATATCTGTTATATCATTTTAGACCAATATCTTACAACTGTCTTGTTATATCATTTTAGACCAGTATCTTACTACTGCCTTGTTATATCATTTTAGACCAATATCTTACAACTGTCTTGTTATATCATTTTAGACCAGTATCTAACTACTGCCTTGTTATATATCATTTTAGACCAGTATCTTACTACTGCCTTGTTATATCATTTTAGACCAGTATCTTACTACTGTCTTGTTATATCATTTTAGACCAGTATCTTACTACTGTCTTGTTATATCATTTTAGACCAGTATCTTACTACTGTCTTGTTATATCATTTTAGACCAATATCTTACAACTGTCTTGTTATATCATTTTAGACCAGTATCTAACTACTGCCTTGTTATATATCATTTTAGACCAGTATCTTACTACTGCCTTGTTATATCATTTTAGACCAGTATCTTACTACTGTCTTGTTATATCATTTTAGACCAGTATCTTACTACTGTCTTGTTATATCATTTTAGACCAGTATCTTACTACTGTCTTGTTATATCATTTTAGACCAGTATCTTACTACTGCCTTGTTATATCATTTTAGACCAGTATCTTACTACTGCCTTGTTACATCATTTTAGACCAGTATCTTACTACTGCCTTGTTATATCATTTTAGACCAGTATCTTACTACTGCCTTGTTATATCATTTTAGACCAGTATCTTACTACTGTCTTGTTATATCATTTTAGACCAGTATCTTACTACTGCCTTGTTATATCATTTTAGACCAGTATCTTACTACTGCCTTCTAATAGATCATTTTAGACCTACATTCGGTGAGGTAACCAACATACGGTATTTAGAATCATTGTGACATCATATCTGTTATATCATTTTAGACCAATATCTTACAACTGTCTTGTTATATCATTTTAGACCAGTATCTTACTACTGCCTTGTTATATATCATTTTAGACCAGTATCTTACTACTGCCTTCTAATAGATCATTTTAGACCTACATTCGGTGAGGTAACCAACATACGGTATTTAGAATCATTGTGACATCATATCTGTTATATCATTTTAGACCAATATCTTACAACTGTCTTGTTATATCATTTTAGACCAGTATCTTACTACTGCCTTGTTATATCATTTTAGACCAGTATCTTACTACTGTCTTGTTATATCATTTTAGACCAGTATCTTACTACTGTCTTGTTATATCATTTTAGACCAGTATCTTACTACTGTCTCGTTATATCATTTTAGACCAATATCTTACTACTGCCTTGTTATATCATTTTAGACCAGTATCTTACTACTGTCTTGTTATATCATTTTAGACCAGTATCGTACTACTGCCTTGTTATATCATTTTAGACCAGTATCTTACTACTGTCTTGTTATATCATTTTAGACCAGTATCTTACTACTGCCTTGTTATATCATTTTAGACCAGTATCTTACTACTGTCTTGTTATATCATTTTAGACCAGTATCTTACTACTGCCTTGTTATATCATTTTAGACCAATATCTTACTACTGCCTTGTTATATCATTTTAGACCAGTATCTTACTACTGCCTTGTTATATCATTTTAGACCAGTATCTTACTACTGTCTTGTTATATCATTTTAGACCAGTATCTTACTACTGCCTTGTTATATCATTTTAGACCAATATCTTACTACTGCCTTGTTATATCATTTTAGACCAGTATCTTACTACTGCCTTCTAATAGATCATTTTAGACCAGTATCTTACCACTGTCTTGTTATATCATTTTAGACCAGTATCTTACTACTGCCTTGTTATATATTATTTTAGACCAGTATCTTACTACTGTCTTGTTATATCATTTTAGACCAATATCTTACTACTGCCTTGTTTACGGGATGTCAATGTTTGAAGCTAACAACACAAAACAGTTCTATTATCTCTAGGAAACAAAATGGTGTTTCTATGGTATGAGGGCAGCATCATGGTGTTCCCATTGGCTGAATCTATTAGCACATTATTCAGTGGGTATGAAACTAGAAATATCGTGTTTTACCCGACTTAAAGTACGATTTCATATAACTGATTGATTGTTAGCAAAAGTTGTCTGCAATATTTTTATCATTTGTGAAGAAGATTTAAAACAAGAAACGGAAATGCATGTTTCAACATATTTGATTACACTTGAAACTATAAGTTCAGATTCCCAATGATGTTTTGAAACAAATTATATTGAAGGCACAAAAACACTAAAGTAAATATTAGATACCACTGTTCCGCATTTAGTTACAGACAATCCGATCGAAGCAAAGGAAGAAGATAAACATATTAGTTGTCGATGAACAAATAAAGCAAAGTTTGTACCTTGATTATATCTTGTCATCTTGCTTTATTAACAAACAAAGGAATTTTTATCAATAAAACATGTCACCACTGAAACTTGCCCTAACCGTTTTGTAATAATCACCAATACACTCGGTATTTTTCCTGTATAATGGGGTCATTATCTCAAACAGCTTGCTTCATTCTGATGTTCGCTCGATTCTCACTGGGAAACTAGGTGAGTTTAGTTTAAAAAAAACACAACAACAAACAGAAAAAACAAAACAAAAAAAAACAAAAAACAAAACAGGAATATGTATTCATCATAACCGACAAGCAAGCCACGATGAAGGTACTTGTGTGTCTGAAATTGGTACGCTAGATTGAGATGCTAGATTGTGTTGGTAACTTGATAAATGAAGTAAATGAAGCGGAAAAAGTAACTTATTACATATTGCCAGTTTGAATCAAATCAAGACAAACATATCTCATTTAATTTAGTAAAGGCATTGAAGCCACGGAAGATTAATTACAAAATATTAATAATTGCAGAACAATAAATACACTATTTCGAAATCTGAACAATTAGTCCTAAATATCTTAGTTGTTTGTATAGGATCTAATTACGGTTATAATTATAACATAACACAACTCCAAAATCAATATACATACAGATGATATACATTCTCCTTAAAATGTTTTATTGAAATAGTTTTAAACAGGTATATTATAAAACAAAATAAACAATCAAACAAATATCTTTTCCAAAATAAAGATTACTTAAATGCATCCGTATTAAACTATAATTGATACCTCTATCACAACGTGCAAACTAACCAACTGAAACTAAGTTAAAAGCACACTAAAGCAGTTACACTAAGAACCAAAAGCTAAAAACATTACATTTGAAAATTTAACATAGATCAATCGGGGCAGTTAAAACTGTAAAAATGTAAATAAAAACGTGAAAAATATTATCATGACATCGATATTTTTGTGCTATTATTGGCCCGATTTGAGTGAATATAAATCGTTCAAATGATTTTCATTCAAGATAATATATAGCACAATGGACATTGTTATTCTCGAAGAGTGGAATGAACTAATTATCTGAAATACGTAATACGTATTACACTACATCAAATGGAATAAATTCTCTCGAAACTATTTTAAGTTTCGTCATATCGAAAAAAAGAAAAACACAAAAAAATCCCCGAACCCTTTGGGCCTAAAATATGAGTCTCTTTGTTTTCTTATGAAGAAAGGTTAACACGTATTTTATAGTCCTGTGATAATGGGAGCTGTATCACTTGAAGAAAATAGTACTGAGTATGAAATAATATAAAATTTGATATATTTTCAAAAATGTCCGAAAAAATAGGTGTATTCTTAAATGACAGTTCAACATACTAGTACTTTTAGTGAAAAAAAAAGTCACGTGTTCAGTTCGGATCGGAACACCCGTCCTGAGGCTAACCGGGTTGTCGCCAACGGTCGGCTTTTGAAAAAATAACCCGAATAAATGATATGGGCGGGGCTTGATTATTATTAGAGCATGAATGAAAAAAAAAGGTTCATGAATCAGTGTCTGTTAAAATACTGTTTTGTCTGAGGAGTGTTAGAATCTAAAATTAGCCCCTTTCAAGAAATTTAAAACCTAAATGGGTGAAAAAACACGAAGACGGAAATTTTATATTGTGAACGTCGTCTTGGTTTGTTGATCTCTGTTCTCATCTGTACTGACAAACAATGTTTATATAACTATATATAACTAATGATAGAAACATTAAACTTCCAAAACAAGATAATTAAGTTTATATTCAAATTTTCTAATAAATCATTTTCTATATATAGGACTAGGATTAATTTAATACTTCCTGTTCGTCCCTTCATTTATGTAAATAGTGTAATTTTAATACTTGAATCAGCGGTAGCAATCAAATATGGTATAATGTTACCCTTTCAACATTATTTCAAATAGATATGGAGATCACTATTCATCCGTTACAAGGCAAATATACTACTCAACTTTTACTTAGCACCATATGTGTGTGACTGGTTTTTGGGATAATTTTATTAACGCTGTGCGAAAGATTTCAGATGTTGATTTACTGTTTTATCAATTCAGCTGAAGGACCAATTTAACCTGCATGTAAATGAGTTTTACACTGATTTTGTGCTAGTGCAGAGGATGAACCCCCCACTTTGAATATTTTAGAACATGCAGCGTGCTTTCCAAATTTGTTAAATTGTATTTTTTGTTTACAGGTTTAGACTTAATATCATGTGTGTGACCTGGGACTACCAATGTGACAGCTTGGCATCGCCTTTTCATACTCCCTTTTAGATTTCTAGTCGTTCTTACGGGTATGGGTGCCCATTTTTGGACCAACATGGCTCCAAGATCCTGGATGATTCTGGGTTGCAGCTGACGAGCTGAAATATTTACTTGCAGCTCATTCCACATGTGTTCTATTGGATTTAAGTCAGGTGAGCGGGCTGGCCAGTCCATGCGCTCAATAGACTCCCTTTCTAGGTAGTCTTGGACCACCCTGGTAATATGGGAGCGAACATTATCGTCCATTAGAATAAACTGATCGCCGACTTCTCCAGCATACAACCTAACCTGCTTGCCTTAGATGTTGTATATGTATGACTGACCTGTCATTTCGCCTCTTTTTCGCTAAACCAGGTCGGTTCGTCCATCCCATCTGATGCCTCCCCGCACCAAAACTGACCCACCTCCGCCAATGTACAATGTAGCCGGTATCTCCCAGGCTCTGGTGATGACGTTGTGGTGTAAACCAGGCGCCGCACCAACCTGGCGGAAGGTGGCACCCTGCTGCACCATCCCTGCAGCCCCCCCCTTTCTCTGCTTCTCTAAAATGCTGCCTTATGTTAGCATTCGCCATATTGAAGTGACAGATTTAAGATATGTAACCACTGAATGACAATAGGCCGGTAATGTCGCCGTGTTACAAAGGAGAAGTGATTGTACACCCCATCAAAAAACATCGAAATATTGGGGTACATGCTTTCAATGCTACCTATCCGAGTTGTGACGGAAGAGTCAACGTGGACTATCTCGAAACATTTCTGAATCAGAATTTACAAAAATGGGAAAGAAACCTGTTTATACCTATGATAATATAAAAAATAACGTATGGTGCTTAGCATAAGTTGAGTGGTATATAGCCACTGGTCGGCTAACTCTTTTCAATATTATCAATGTAAACCTTTAAGGTGGTCTCCCTTTGATATGTTTAGTTAGGTAAATTAAATGTTTGTGTATGTTTGTGATTTAAATATTTCCCAAATATGTACATGCAGTTTGTTAATATTGGCAATATTGATCTGAGACAAATTAATTTTCGGGAGTTTTTTCGTTAGTTCCCGTAATTCATAACGATTTACCTATTGAGTTTTAATGATATAGTTCTCGATACTAATCAAAACAGGCCTAATCAAAACAGACGCGCAGTTGCATGTTCAAATACTTTTTTTCAGATTTCTTTGACTTGTTTTTTTTAAATGTATGCAACATTAGTGGATGAATAATTTGATTAATTTCTGGTGTCTTTTTAAATTTCACGACTTTGATACATGCATAATTATGTAAATTTTCATTACTCCAATATGTAATGTCAAACAATGGGTGATTGTCATGCCCAAGAACAGAGTAGTTGAGTTTTGCAAACTATAAAAAGGGAAATAGGAAACAATAATGTTTAATCGAGATTCGAAACTACAACCTTCAATTTTAAAGTGAAAATCTGAACTCTTTGTCACCGAGGTTAGTAAGGCATGTGTTGTGTTATACATAAACAATGTACACCGTTATTCCATACTCACGGTGATAGGGCGATTACCACAACTTTTCCGCGCAACGTCAAAATATCATCCTTTTGACCGAGACACCGTATATTTCTGGACAAAATATTAACGGCGGGATAAACAAATTTCAGGTAATAGCTTACAAAATATCTTACTGGTGGACATTGCAAAATTATTCCAATTGTTTAAGTATTCAATCGAATTTTTGAGACAATTTATCGTTAATCTAGCACAATACAATTCACAAAAAACACATACTTCAAAGAAATAGCGTTTACAAAAGATCGTGTGTACCTTAACATGACTCGTACTTGTCACAAAAACATGTGTTTTTACGACGATGTATCTGTTCTATGACCTAACGAGCTCGTATATTTATTATGGTTAACCCTTAGTTCAAGTTCCATACAAAATTGTGTGTTTCTATCGTAAATTTCAGGGAATATATGTTGAAAAAATGCCTACTGACCCGAATAAAGGAGCACCGTACAACACTGAATTCAAACATCGCATTGTTTTTCCGTTAGACCGATAAATACTGGCACCGTCTAACAACATCGAGAAACAAAAGGAATGAAATATTTGTAAATGGGAATTTCTTATTGCATACTAATTTGATAAAGTTGCAAAAGTCATAACACAAATTGTCATGGTGTAGTTTTTGCAGGAACCCGGGCAATATTTCCATAATCTCTTCAGTCATGGTCCCGAAGGTGCTTTTTTTTAAAACAATCTTTTGCGAAAGATGACTTCATATTCTTTTTCCTATGTGGTGCGTTAAGCATATCGTCCTGAAATACAGGGAGGCGCTGATCCATTGGCGTACTGCTGATATCAGAAGACTTAGTTGGGCGCTCTCCAGTTGCTGCAGTATCTCCTGGAAGTAAATGCAGCTTTGCCAATTTCGCACGTTGCTTTGGCTTGTTCAGACATAGGTTTGAACGTCTTCTTTTTCTGAAAGCAAACATTAATATAAAAAATAAACGGTTCTAAAAAAACAGTAAAATGCGGTGATTTTAAGGAGGAATAATGCGGTGCCCTAATTTTATGATTGACAAAGTTGTGCGGTGCCTTAAAATACACACGTGGAAACATAAAAATCATACCACATATACAATAAACGGGTTATTTATGTATTGTAACTTGTTCATACGACAATAATGTACATATTTATATTGTATTTTGACCAGTTATAAGAACTGAATGGACTAGAAATACGTTATATTTCCTAATCAAAGCAAGATTTTTTTTCAGTATGCCCTAAATGTTTTCACTATCCTGACTTAGTTAGTGGAGCATTTTGCATGTAGTAAAGATAATTAAGTTCCAAATTAAATGACACATTCGATGAAAAAGAAGAAATGATGATTTTACCTAGTTTTGAGCAAATTATTTTGTGTTTTCGTCTCGGTTACAGACTTGCTGTCCATTTTGTATCACAGAAATATACGGTGTCTCGGACAGAAGTAAGATATTTTGACGTTGCGCGGAAAAGTTGTGGTAATCGCCCTATCACCGTGATACTTAAAAATCCGTAACATTTACTTCGGAATCCGATAATTACAACAAAATGTCATTGAATATGCAAAATAAATTATTTTCCACTGTCTGCATTTTCGAATAAATAAAGTATATCGGAACCAAATAAAGAAGCACATTTGTTCATTTCAATCTAATCTCTCTTTACGAAATTATTTGAGTTTTTAGCGTAAACATAGTAACGTTATATAGTAAAATATTAAATGAAAAGGCAAATATTATTGTTGACAAATGATATGTCACAAACTCACAAAGCATAAAATGAAGAAATAATATCGGTTGTTTTGATGCGAAAATATTAACCACTCAAGCCTACGGCCTTCGTTGTCAATACCTCCGCATCAAAACTCCAAACCGGTGTGATATAGCCGATAAACAGAGCTTAGACCAATATTATTTCGATTCGAATAAGACAAAATAAGGAAGATCACTTATGCCGTTTTTTTTCAAGCGACGATTACTTCCGGTGCCGATTTTCGTATAACGCTGTTCGATTTCGCACCCTACTGTTGCTAAGATATAGAAATAATTAAACAAAAGAAATCTGTAATACGAAAAAAATATTTTATCAAGATTTCAAAAATAAAAACTTTATGTCTTAGACTGGATTGTATTGTTTACATCGTGTTTTAATTACATCATTCTTGTATGTTTGAAATGACGTTCTTTCAACGCGTTTATGAATTAGTTGTATGATGACGTCATTACGCTGCTTACGGATTGACGCCGTTTTGTCAAAATATTTATTAACTGATATTGCGTTAGTGTATGTGAGATATTATTTTAATATTGTATGGAAAATATAAGACCTGAAAATATCAATAAAGATTCGTTTTTATTGTTTGTAAACTACTTAATCAAGGGTGAAACATATACAAGCATATACAAGTAGTCCCTATGGCAGTTTAACACCGTTTTTTTTCTTCTTTGTCTAAAGTGACAAAATCACGAGGAGTGTTAGAATGTTAGATTAAACTAGCAATGTAATAAATAGATGTCATCCTCGGATATATTTTTATACTCTTCTTTTTAATGAAGCTGACATTTAGACTACGCGTGAGGTTATGTGAAAATCTAATAAGTTATCAATACAATTTGAAAGATCTTTTGTCATTACATTTAAAACATTGATAATTTTATCCTTGAAACCTGTAATATCGCACAATTTTGTGTTGTCTTTCATTTGTTTTTTCCTCAGAGTACCAGGAAGTTGTAGGATACTGAAACGGCTACTTTTTTCACTTGAATTAAGCTGTAAAAATGAAGATATCGTAAACGGTATTTTGGATCTGTTTATTTGTTGTTTAAGACCGAGCTGTTGATTTTAATCAGACCGTCTTTAAAAATTAATACTTCTTTGTTGTTCCGAAACTACCACCGCTTGAGATAATCTAACACAACGTTGTAATACGAGTGAACCAAAGCAGATAAAATCTCTAATTTTAATCGATATCTTGCTTGGCATCAAGCGCAGGCTTAAAATGCACGTGGACATGTCTCTATATTATTCATTTGATTACATACACGGAAACAATATGAAAAGATATCATAATTAATTGATTAAAGAAAAGGGAGAAAATTAACATATCAAATAAAATATGAGAACACGAGCGGTCATTATCTGAGAGTACACAACGCTTCTTATGTTTGTATGTTTGTTGAAATTAGAACGATGGAGGATCAATTACTGAGGATGATCACGTGACAAAAATCGTATAATGGGCTCATAAAATGGCGGCCTAAACGCTCGGTAAAAGCAGTGAAATTGAGGTAAGCATACAGTTAACGTTAAATTTATATGTAAAACTAGGCCGCACGGAACCCCTGTATAAAAACCACGTACTGTTCTGTTATTGGTTACTTTGTAGCTCTCTCTGTTTAGGCCTGAAAGTCGAAAAAGTTGTTTTGGGTGATGAGTACAATGGCCGAACAGGTACTAAAATACGTTGTTTTCAGTAAAAGAAACGCATTTTGAGCAAAATTAGCAATGACATCTTGTGCACAATTGGAAGTTTGCCCGTCAAGAACAATTTCCATCCTTTGTAAAGTTGCATAACGAAGTTGTGCATCTTTTTAAAAACGAGTACAATGGCCGAACCAAATTTAATGAGTACAATGGCCGAACGATTTTATTGCCTGTCCTATTTCGTCAAATTTTTCATTGAATTATGCTTGTTTCTCGCTTCCTGTCTTTGAAATCATACAAATATGATATTTGAAAGTGAAAAGTAGGAAGATGTATTAAATTAAATGAATTCAGTTTGCTTGCTATAAATTCTCATCTTAATAGTACATTGTATTTTGCTTTGACAACACACGTGTACATCAGCGTAAAAATATTTAAAATACAAACATAAAATACAAACATGTACATTATATAGAATTTATTCAACCAGCAAAATATATGTTTCAATTACATACATAAAATTCTCAATTATTTTGGAAATAAAGTCAGGTTTTTTGTTTTTGTTGTTTTTTTTTGTATTTCAGACGCAGAAAAAGAAAAAAGCTCAACTGCAATCACTTAATGTGGCATCGTCAGAAGAATTTTGAGCATTCTAAATGCTTAATGAAAATGTGTTATCAAAATATTACCGTAGATTTATTTAATCATTTTTACAACCCATAAAGAACATTTATTTTTGAGTTTTAAGATCAAATAAAATTAAATGAATATTTAAATAGTCAGTAATATTTCTAAAAATCTGCAAATGGTCTTACCAAAAAGCTGGCTGACACAAAATAATATTGAACACATTACTAATATACGTTAGCAAAAATCAAAGGTTTCATTCACATTGTTTTCATATGGAAATATTTGACTTTAATAATGTTTAAAATCTATATAAGTTATGAGTTACTATCTTTCATACTTATTGCATGGTATGTACAATATTATAGTCAACCAATCAAATTGTTGCAGTGAATACTGAATTGTATAAAAAAAGCTCACTTTGGCAATGTTAGCGAGGTTACCTACTGTACCTACTCTGGTCAGTACTACAAGGCTTAGCCTCGAAACATTAAACTGGACTTAGTCCTAAACACAACACAAACGTTTACGTTTATTACAATCGACCTCATATAAAATTTATCATAAATATAATCTTAATTAAATAATAAGTAGAGTTATTCTTAATACAAATAAATATCATTTAATTAGTATACTTATTAAATTTGTTAGGGCTACTCGTATAATAAAAGCATTGATTGAAAATGTATTTACTAGTTGTTGTTGCTTAGTCCATCATCTTTATATTATATAGAGACACTTATATAAGTCAACTGAGCCCTGAGAATTTACTCCAGTTATAATTTGTGATCGTTTGGTCTCCGTGTAAAGCATTGATTCTCATCAGAACCTGACCACTATTACATTGGTGCCGTGACCAAGATCATAGAGCATATACAGTAGCCGATACTTTGATTGCACAGGTGTTCCTTCAGTATGTTTTGTACGAATTTGTATCATAGACTTTATGTCAATCTCAGTTAGTTTGAAAATTGCACAAGCTCAATTAAGGAGGCCATTATGGTCAACATCTGGAGACGTGTGCCCAGTTAGTAAATGCGAAGCTAAATTCAAAAAGTACTCGCTGTTTAACAAAATATGAGAAACAAGATCATCAAGGAAAGGCGGCGTTCAATGAACGCAGTACCAACCCGACCCAGTAACAAGAGCCAGTGGCAAGGAGACCAGGAGGACCCCAAAACAAAAACAGTAAAGGGCACAAGGCACAAGCACTGGGTGGCCTGTAACGAACTGACTAGAGTCCTCTTTAAATGTGTGAGAGGATCTCGCAAAGGAAGTCTGATGCTTCCGTAGTGGACCACTTCACATGTCAGAGGAAAAGAAAGTGGTCAACCCCTATTACGTGCCACCTGGGGACAGCATCAAACCAAGGCCTCCCACTCAGTTGGAGTTAGACCAACTGAGACTTGACAGGAAAGCAAAGGATGCTGAAGAACGAAGAAATTGGGCGTGGGATGAAGTGGTGGAACTATATTTCGATAGATTTACCGAGCTAGATTGGGAGGACGATTGAAAGCGTGTTTGAAATGTGGAATATTTTGTTTGTTTTTATATATATAAGTATAGCCCGTGCTTTTTACTGTAAGGTTCCTTTAGGTTCATTAGACTTTGTTTATTTTTGTTATAACATCTAAAATGATTTGGTAAAAGATTTTGCTTCTGATTCAAATTTTGATAAGTTTCTTAAATAAAAGGGTAAGTCTTTTCTTTATTTGTTTTTCGCATTATATTTCAGAATTAATTTCTTATTACATGGGGCTTCTTTGTTTTTAAGGAGGGAGGAATGTAATAGGATAGGTATTTAGATAGATAGATAATTTTATTCTGGTAAAAAATACATGTCATAAAACAACTACAAATTCAATGTCAACATCAAGAAATACATGTAAACATGAAAGTGCATGTGTTTGATGCCATATATTCAATACCAAGGATGACACAAAAAGAAGGCATAAGCCGACTTATTTCCATTGGGGTCCTTAGAATTGATCATATGACACTAGAAAGGCAAGATATTTACTAATTATGAAGTATTGCACATAAATTATTCAACCACAATTTCTTATATCAATTATTGCACATAAGTATTTCCACCACAAAATTTATCACACATGTATAATAATAATAATAATAATAATTATGACAAATATGTTTGACAATGAATAGGTACTACTAAAATATGCACTAAACATAAAAATATATAAATAAAAACTAAGTAAGACGACTGGATTAAAATGACTACACGGATATTGATTGCATAAAGTGTTTCTTAAGAGATTGTTTAAAATTATCACGACTTGTTATGAACCTAAGATGTGTTGGTAACCTGTTCCATACCTGACAACCATTAAATACAAATGTTTTCTTTCCGAAACCCTTAACTCTTGGAATAGAATAACTGTTACTATCTCTAAATCGAGTTGAGTAAGAGTGTACCTTATT